CATGCCTATGGGCAATGAACTGATTTTGTCCACTGTCTTATCCTGTGATTTAGTGGTAAAGCCTTTCCTGTGGGGGCCAAATATGGGGCCACATTCACCCCATTACTGCATTGCTTAGTGGCTTTCTGCAGGCTCGCAGGATGGATGTACCTGGAGATGACTAGGAAGGATGCTCATAATGAGGGGCTGGGGAAGAAATGTTTCCTGTGTTTTGATAGACTTGGCTAAGTTTCTAGAAGGCTTCTAGAACTGTGATGATGAATGAAGACAGCATAGGAGCAAGGCAACCCAAAATATGGCAAGGAGGATTTCTTGTGTTCACTATCATTTTTACGTATAAATTAGTTCCTGGAACCCAAATAATCCTGATTGATACACTTAGTACCATGTGAATATAGTTACAGTAAAACAGCTTATCTCACTTGGACAATTTACTTGTCCTCCAAATATTGAGACTTTTGTTTGATTCAGCAGTTGTAAAACATACATTTTTAAACTTCTTCCCATTGTTCCCAAGACACATTTATTTAATTTGTAAAAAATTCCCTTCTCTACAGGTTCTCCATAGTAATCACCAAATAATTCCAAAATTCTGGGAAGGAGATTGGTTTGAAAAATCCATTGCTTGTAGATATTTTTCTAATGACTAAACCATATTTTTCTCAATCCTAAGGATTTTTAACTGGGTGACAAAAGCATGACATATATTGCTTTATTCCCAACAGAAACAATTGCACTCTATGAAGAAATGGAAATCAGGCTAAAGCAATTAAGTTTTTAAAAGCTCTCAGACTACATATTAAACTTTCATTTAAGAAATTGAATAAATAATTAATTGTGCCATGCTATCTTTCTTGGTATGGGACAGCTTCTGACCTTCTAAAGCTGAAATTTAATATCTAGAGTGGCATATAGTAGATGTTTATCCTTAATTAAAAAAAAACAAGCTTGGTAATGTTCATGATTATTTCTGCTTCAATACTTCATAAAATGTAAATATCTTAAAATTATACTTACAACTAGATAAGAAAAATTTGAAACAAAGGAAGTGAAGAATACCCATTGTAAAACAAAAAGATTGAAGGAGAGATGACTTCATCTTCATTGTGTGGACCAGCACGTGTGCCTGGAGTTGACATTAGGCAGATATCACTTGCCATTATGTTTTGCAATGGTATAGACCTGGGCCAAAGCAGGAAATGGGATGGTTGCCCCCTGCTCTGTTTTCCCTATTTAATGCATTCCCTAGGAGAACTGGAATTTGAACTTAGAATGGGTATTTATGAATGAAGGGAACTCTGGTCTCTCTCTCTTTTTTTTTTTTTTTTTTACTTTTCTCTCCCTCCTTGAATCTTCTATAAGGTCTTTCTTGTCTGGCAGAAAATGCTTTTGTTACGTCTTTCCCCTTCTGGAGGTCACAATCAGTCTCTTTTCCTTGTGACCATAGTGAGAGAAGGGATGGTTGGCCAACAAGTTTGAGCAGGAGAAATAAAACATGGATTCATTTAATATTTTCAAAATATTATCCTATTATAGGGAATATGTGTAATGAAATTGTTATTTTTATTGCAGAAGAGTTGAGAAAAACATAAAAATATAAACAAATAAAATTCTCAAATTCTAAAGTCTAAAATAACCACTTTGAATTTATTTTCTAGGAGTTTTATTAATCATATATATATATATATTTCAAAAGGGTATCATTGTAAATATAACCTCTACTTTCTTTTTCTCATCTAGCATTATATTATGAGCAATTATCTTTGACAATAGAACATAAATTGACATTAACATTCAAAATATTATAATATTCCACTTGAAAATGTATCATAATTTATTTAAATAGATTCCAGTTTTACTTTCCTTGCAATGAATGTCTGTGTATATTTTTCTTTGTTCAAATATCTTAGGATTTTTTTTTGTATAGGAATCATGAGAGATAAAAAGATTGCATATTTTTATATTTTGACAAGATTAGTTTTCCCTTTTTTTTTTTTTTAATTGGGCAGCAAGCAACTAAAGCTGTAGATAAAAAACTTCCCAAGTAACCATAAGCAAACCATTCTTAATCCCCAGGATGACTACTCAGTAACTGCTTGCCTATGTTGTTTTCCCTTTCTCCATTTTTGAGAACTTAATTTTAACTGAATGTTCTAGGATCATATGAAATATTTTCTTTCCAACCAACCTCATTGCTAATTACACAGATTTCTTAAAGCATGACTGACAACTCAAGTTGGGGTGTTCACTAGTAATTGCTGGAAAACCTTAAGTTCACCCCCAAAATGATACTATAATAGTTTGATGCTAAATTATGTGAGCAGATACCTAGAGTACCCCTCAGGTATAGGCAGTGGTGTGCTGATAAATTGGATGTCTGAAAAAAATGGGCTGATTTGTAGTATTTGCCAATTTCTGTGGTGTAAATACTTCTGCTATAGCCTAGTTGGAAAAATCTTTTCATATTTAATAATCAACTCTCACAGGCTATATGAGACTGTTAAGACACACTACTGGTCAGGGGTCAAGAGAATGGTCCCAGGACATTGTGCAGAATAAAAGTTGTCCCTTGTTCCATGTCAGAAAGTCTTTAGTTACTGAATACCACCAAAAACCACTACCACTTTCCTCTGTTCCTGTTTCCCTCCCCACCCCCGACTATTTTTTGGGAACAGAACCCACATAAAGTTGCTTTTGTACATAAAAACTTGGACATCCTAACTAATAGCTCCACTTTCTTTGTGCAGTTGGACATCATTAGTAAACTTTATATGCTGGTGTTTGTCGATGGACCCTTTCTCCATCCTGCTATAGGAATTATGACCAGATCTAGTCACTTAGACTTAGTAAAGTACAGAATCTTGGGATGAACTTACTGCTTTTCTCTTGAGATATTTAAAAACTGTCCTATTTAGCATTCAGATTAATGAACACTACTAATCCTTATTCCTACTATTAAATTGAGAAATGTTCGAAATATTTTGTAAACTGTAAAGGGGAAGACCACCATCAGTTTTTATTGTTTTCCATAGTCTTGTTTCTCCACCTGATTCTCTCCATTGTTTTTTTTGTCCTCACCATCAATTGCCCATCAGAGATTGCTCAAATCCAAATCAGTACAGCATTTCAGTTTCACTTGGTACATAGACTATTTAGGGGAAAATAATTTAAATCATTCGTATCCCTGAGTTTCCAGCTATTGAATGGTAACTGTAATAGCTGTTGTTCACATGAACTGAGAATTACAAAATAGTTGGATTTATTCAAACTCCGTGTCTAAAATGTCTTTCACTCATTGCTTTGTGCTTAATTAAATTCAGTTGTTTTTCAATTTTTTTTTAGCCAGCTATACTGCAGTTGAGTTTGAAATCTGTTTTTGTTTTTTATTTGATGCCAAGGGAGCAAGCTATCAGCCTATGTCAAATTTAAAGTGAAATATATTTATTGATACACAAATGCAATTTTACAAGATATCTCAAACTGCACATTTCTAATGAGGAGACAAAAGAGAACCTATAAAAAATGACTGCTATAAGAGGAATATAAGCAAAGTTGAAATCTTTTCATGATAACAAAAGCCTCACAAAGAAGCACTGGACTTAGTCCATGTTTTAGGAATTTGCAGATATAAAGAGTTAGTTATCTTCTCCTCTGGCTCTGCAATGTGTAGTACAAAAATATTTGCTGTCAGAAAAAAAGAAGTTGGAATGCAGAGATTTCAGACAGAGAGCCCAAGAAACACTTCGCCTCTTTGACTTTAAGAGTTCTGATTTTTTATTTAGTGCTTGCAATATGACAAAATATTGGTTTTTATCCATCATCTCCCTCCTTCTCACCAAGTTTGTTTGAATCCTCCGAGAATTTAGTTCTTTTGGGTTGTAATTCACTATTAAGATTTGATGGAAATATCTGCTTGCCTGGATTCCTAACACTGAACAGTTTAATATTACGTAGCTGATAAGCTACTCTTTTCTATTCTTTTTTTCACTTAAAATATCATCAAGTTTTAGGCAAAGAAGCACATGAGGTAATATAACACCTATGCCAATAGGATATTAATGTCTAAAAAATGCATCCCAAACATGTTAGAGTGTTACAGGAACACTTTCTCAGTTAACTCCCCAAAGGGTGTAACAAAAACTAAATGTGTCTGTAAAAGAGTCGTTTATAAAGCATGTATTACATTATGTTCTGGTGAATGTGGTTTCAAGAGTGTTTTTAAGCACATTATACACATGCAAGTGTCTCAATCTTAGTATTTGTCATGAAGGTCCATTTCTCAAAAGAAAACATTTCAAACTCTCACCATTGCCTCATTTAGGTCATTACATAGTTGGGAATGTCAATAGAAAGATCCTTCAGGTCCATTCCCCCGCTTTAATTAGCACCGCTTTCTCAAAGTTCTTTTGAATTTATAGAGTATAAGAGGTTAAGTGATACTTGTATGCAGAAAGGATTGAAAACTCTAGACTCCATTAGAAAAATAAGTTTGATAGCAATCAAACCTGCTTCTTGGACCTATTGTATGTATTTATGTAACTTCGAGATTTGGAACTGTCATTGAAAAATTGGGGTGTTGTCCTGAGAAAAATACAAGGTGCTGATGAGTTGGGGTTGCACGCAGAACAGATTGGAATTGTCTGCTACTTTTTGAAAGATGAGCTGGCAGGAGAAATTCAGTGACCTGAATTGGGTTGAGAATTAAACCCTAGTAGAATTCAAGGGCAAATTATTTACATTCATACATCTCTTGACACACAATCTTACAGGGGTTCCCTATTTTACTTTCTCATAAAATTTGCAATTGTCCCGAAGCTCAGTAAACACTACTCCAATCTAGTATATTACTTTAATTGTTTATTACTTAAATTGGTGATAATACAATATTATACTTGTAAAAATAGTGATCATTTGTACCATTTTTTAGTGATTACGCCTCCCAAGCTGAAACTATGAGCTATTCATTTCCATGAACTGTCTTAACTTTTTCTTTATCTCAGATCTACCCCTAAATCAATCCATTCTCTTCTGCTGTGTTGCTGTGGTTTCCATTGAGGATCACCAGAGAGAGACTCACCGCTACTTTTCTTCCATCCACAGTCTGAATTCCTGATTGACATGTGAGTTAACTGCTCTCGAGGTAGACTCTGAGCCCTGGTCCAAGTGCTTATGGAATGAACTCTCCTTTTTCTTTTTAAAAAATATTTATTTATGCATATAAGAACTGGGGTACAGGCCAAAGGTGTGGGGGGTGAGAGGATTCACCAGAAACAGAGTGGGGAACAACAGGCAGACTGATTGAAGTACACTGCTGAGATGAGTCAGGAGAGGTCTGCTGTGCCATGTGGGTTTCTCTCTGGCCAGGGATCAAACTCTTGCTGCAGAGGCTGTGGATAACAGTGCTGTGCTTAACCCCTTTCGCCACCAGGGAGGTCCCTCCTTATTTTTTTTCTTGATGATGAAGATTTTAGTTACAGCCACATTCCAATAAATTCATATAAACCCAACTTTTTTTTAGTATTATTTTGCCTCATGGATTCTTGTGTTTATGGAGTTTCTCTTTGAAACAACTGAATTATAATCAAGACTGTAGATAAAATTACTGCTTTATCATTTTTATGAAAATGTTCACAAAAGGAAAAAAATGTAGAACTTTAAAGTGAACTTGTGTAACAATATACAGGCTAGAGTCTACAAAACATTTTTATTGTACTTGCTATATCACCTAATTACTTATACATCCATTCCTCTTTATATCCATCAGAATATCTTAATTTTTTTATATATTCAAAGCAATTGGAGTCATCAGTTTACTTTGCCCCTAAATTTAGCATGCACATATTATTACTTTGAAAATATTAATTTCTTATTAATTTTGTTGTAAAATTTTATAGAATTGTCAACTGTATTTACAACATTAAATTTTAAAGTTGAAAAATACCACATAATCTTTAATCACTTATAGATTCATTCTATGATCATTTGTATATGTTTGTTCTTATTACCAAAACCACCACCTTGTTTGATTGAGCTTATTAACAGTGCTGTAAAAGTCTACCAAAGGCACTATCATTTGTTCTAATAAAAGCAGAGGAGGTATTGTTCTGTTTACTAATGAGTTTAATTTATTGATCTTCAGCCATTGATATATTAGCAAAACTATTATGAGTTCCACAAAGATAACTATCTTTAATGTGTAAAATTATAGTGGAAATTCTAATGATCTATATATATTTGACTTTACCATTGTTATTCACCTATGTCATATTGTTTCAAAATATATTTAAAGAAAGACAGACACATCATTTAATTGTTTTCTTATTTTTGTGCATCTGCCATGTGTAGTACATTATGATCAATCAAGATTTCTGGAATAAAAAATGAAGCTTGAATTTAGGAAATTATACAACGATAAGAAGTCTTGTCTCAAGTAGCTATAATAGAATAGCTCACACATTAGGCCACAAGTTAAGTGCTCTCAATAAATAGTTCCATGAAGAACCAAACACATAAAGGAATAAAGGAATGATTGGTTGGATGGTAGGTTAGAGACATAAGATAGTAAAAGAGAGTTAACCAAGTAAACATATATAAGCACAATGCAAACAACAAACCATAAATTTAAGTAAAAAAATGCAATTGGGAAAATATAGGATCAATTTATAGTAAAGTTTAGTAATAGAGATTCTCAATATAGCAAATAAAACAGTTTTTAAGCTTTATCATTTCAACATGTTAAAGGAAGTGCTTTAGAAATAGTTACAGCTCTAAGATACCATTAATTTATCCTTAATATTTCTCATAGGGGATGAAATAATTGTATTTCCACTCCAATTGTCTCTGTTCCTGCCACCTGAAGAGAAACCATGACTCTTGGTAAGTCTATTATAGTCCCTTTATAATGCTTAAGATTAAATAAAATCAACCCCTTAACCTAGCTTAAATTTTTTTAAATAAATATGTTTGTTATGTTTTAATAAAAAATTCATTTATAAAACTGAATAGAACTGAAATAGGGAAGTAATATAAGGGATAAAAACAATGGTAAAATATCTGTGTTGCTAAAAATTTCTCCTATAGTCCAATTTCAGTGAAGACACCAACACAATTAACTTTGTTTTGAAGTTTACTTTCTATTAATAATTAGATCCTGGGGTTCATGCCAAAGTATTATGCTGACCTTGTGTTTCTTTGTCCATTCAACTGATATAACAAACTATTATAATCTGGGTGATTTATGAACAGCAGAAATTTATTTCTCTTACTTCTGGGGGCTGGGAAGTTCAAGATAAGGGCCTGGCAAATCCGGTGAAGTTCCACTTCCTAGTTTATAAACAGTACTCTTTTTGCTGTGTCCTCTCATGGCAGAAGGGATGAGGGAGCTCGCTGAAGCCTTTGTTATAAGGGCAAGCACATAAAGGACTTTTACCTCATGAGCTTATCACCACCCAAAGTTCTCACCTCCAAGGACCATCGCATAGGGAAATGTTCAATATTTGAAACTTTGGGAACACATCTAATGTATAGATAACACTGTGTAGTGTTAAGCTCTGTGTATGTGTGTGTTTCTCATTGAAACAGAATTCTGATGTTCTCTTTTAGATGAAGAAGAAGAAAGAAAGAGAGTATGAGGTAGTGGAAATAAGACATTTCACAAAGGAAAGACTTCACATGATAAACTTTCACTTCCTATTAAATTTAGAAAATACTTATTGAGGATTGGCTGTGAGCTTGGTGTGAAATGTGCTAACAAAATTGAACGATTTTTCTCTAGTCACACATCTAAATTCCATGTTTTATTAAATATGTGAATTCTAATTTTATTTGATTGCTCTTCACCTTTATTGTGGTTTTGTATCTGAGAGATCCTTAAAAATGAAAATGTCTTATATGTTCTGCACATATTTTACAAATAGAGTATTCATCTATCTATCTATCTATCTATCTATCTATCTATCTATCTATCTATCATATATATACCCTGATGATAATCCCCAAATTGCTATACAGTGGCATTTTCTTGTTTCTGGAGAGAAGGCATTCTTACTAAGAAGACATACTGGATGATCTTTCTACTTCTTAGTAGATTAATTGAAGTGGGATAAACTTCATTAACTATAGTAACTACTGGAAACCACATTTAATACAAAGGTTGGCAAAAAAAAAAAAAAGTCATCTCCAGTCACTTGCATACATTCCATATTAGAAAAAGGAATTGTCTACCAAAAAATAAAAATTTAAAAGGCCTTAGAGAAGCTGAAACTCAGCTTCTCAGAAATATATTTATTCAGAAATATAAACCAAAGTGTTTTCTATTATAGAACCATCTTTGATTAAATATATCCAATAATACTTACATAATTATTTATTAATTCATGACCAAGTCCCATAAAATAAAATTTAAAAAGCAATATTACATGTAACTAAATTCCCTTTATTGAGAGAAGCATCAAAAAAGTGATGTCAAATCATCAGTACCAGTAATATTCCTACAAGCAACTGACCTACTTTCCTTAGGACATGGATTCATTTTTCCCAAATGCTTGCTTGTCCTTTGGATTTCAGGAACAAAAAACAATCACTTCTGTTTTCCGTTTGTAGTTAAACAGAAATTACAGATCAGTGGATTGTTTTCTTTTTGCTCATCTGCATTTATAAAATAATGGTGTGATAGAAAGTCAAACATCACATTTTTTGGGAAATTTTAGAAATGTTTTGTTATATTTTAACTATGTAATTATAACAAAACATTTTAGATAATTTTTTATTGAAGTAACACTGCATTATAACATTATAGGGCTCAGGTGTGCTTCCTTTCAAATCAGCCTGTGCATAAACTACATTAACTTCACCAGTTAAAGTCAAATCTATCTTCCACTATTACCCTCTTTTACATGAATTACTTACCCTTTTTTCCCTTCCCTTCTGATAACCTCCAATTTGGTCTTAGTCTAAAAGTTTATTTTTGTTTTACTCAGTTCATTCAATTTGTTTCCTTATTTACCACATATAACTGAAATCACACAATATTTGTCTTTCCTGCTGACTTACTTCACTAAGCGTAATTTCCTCAAGGTTCATCCATATTGTTGCGAATGGCAGGATTTCATCTGTTTGTATAGCTGAGTAGTATTCCATTTGGGCTGTGAGTGTGTGTGTATGTGTGTGTGTGTGTGTGTGTGACATCTTTATCTAATCATCTGTCAGTGAGAACTAAGACTAGTATAGCTGTGATAAACATGAGTATGCATGCATCTTTTTTAATTAATGACTTTTTATTCCCCGGGTAAATATACAGAACTGGGATAAATTAATTGTGAGGAACTTCTGTTTTTAACTTTTTGAGAAATCTCCATACTGCCTTTCATAATGTCTACACTAATTTGCATTTCACAGATAGTATATAAAAGTTCCCTAGCAGAAAATTCTACCAATTTTTTTTAATTTGTAAAACATGGTATTTAACATCTTCTTAATGTATTCCTCTTTGATTTACTAGGAGAAAATGCATAGTTCTTTTCAGAATTAAAAAAAAGTACTGAAAACCAAAATGTAGAAATGTCATCTTCATTCCCACTCTTTAGAGATAATTATTGATGACTTTTGAGATATATCTTCTGTCTTATAATAAAAGCAAAATTCTGATTGTAGTGAAAAGTAAACAAAATATTTTAATGATCTAAACATAAAAAAAATCAGAATAATGCAAAAACTGACTGGAAATGAAAAAATACAAATGTTAGTTTTCATACATAATGTCAGAAAGTTTGATGAAGACATGGAGGAAGGCCCAAGACAGAACATGGAACCCATGAGAAGTGGTTTTCTTGAAGGAAATATACATAGTGTTATTATTATTATTATTATTAAAGATTTATTTATTTATTTATTTATCTATTTATTTATTTATTTATTTTCACAAGAACTGGGGTATAGGCCAGATTCGCAGGAGGGTGAAAGGATTCACCAGAGACAGAGCGGGGAGCAGAACAGGCAGACTGATGAAATACACTGCTGAGGGGAGCAGCGGGCAGGATAGGAGAGGTCTGCCATGCCATGTGGGACGCTCGTTGGCCAGCTGGGATGGAACTGGCGCTGCAGAGACTGTGGACAGCTTCACAGCATCAAGCTCAACTGCCTGTGCTACCAGGGGAGACCCACATAGTGTTATTTTAAGGAGCTTATTCTTGTACTGGAGCTGATACCATCACATGAGCATGATAGAGTTCAAGTTGAAATTCGCTAGGAATATTAGTATAATGTTCCACTATTGCTATGCTTTTCAAGTTTAAAAATTCATCTACTCATAAAATTCACTCTGTATCATCATAATTTTATACACCTCAAGATCTGTGCATCTCACACTTGCTCACACTCGGTGGGAAAGAAGTCACAAGTGAACAGGGTGGCTGTGTGTGTGTGCATAAATGTATAACCACATTTTTATTATGTGGTTTCTGGCAGCATTTGTAGAACTCATTTTTTTTCAGTTGCTACATTTTAGAGTAAAGTAGCAATATTTGCTTAAGCCAAGTTATAGGAAATTATATAGTGATTTCTAGGAATAAAACTCTAGATATAAGTGTGTGTATGTGGTGAACACCAATATGTAAAGTAAGGGTGGAGGAAATCATAAGTAATTTTGACTTATTGAAAGTTAATTCTTTTGAAAATACATATTAAAAATGGCAATGGGAATGAGAAATAAACATGACACATAATGGTTAAAACAAAAACTTATATTCAAACTAGTAAGAGTAAGGAGAGAAAATCTTATTTAATGGGATACTCTGTTAACACTAGCTATAAACAACCTTTGCTTCAGGCATCTGATATGTCTCTTCTTCTAATATTACAAGCTGATTGACTATATATGCTAAACTGGATCATAAGAAGTCTTTTTCCTTGATCTGAGTTTACCAAGGGCTTATTTTCAAATTGCCCAAGGGGGCAATGTCAACATCCATTCTAGCTATCTTTTGGAAGAAATGTAACCTGGATACATATTCACAAAGAATTTTGCTTTCCTTTATTTCTGAAATTTACGTTGAGTTAGAAAGAATTTTATGATTGGCCAAAACTATAATTTCTGCTCCAGGAAGTGACTGCATAACCCGGTAATGTCTTGGAGCAATGCTTATTGGTGAAGATCATGACATCTTAACAGAAAATTCTTCTTCTATTGTAGAATCTCTAAAAGAATTCAGTTTGGCAGCAGCAATTTATAACTCTTACTTTACTTGGGAGCCAGAAATTTGGAACTAAGGTTATAATTCTTCTAAATTCAATATTACAGTCATTTAAACATTTCTGCTGATTTTTGGAAGTGGTTTGACACAGTGAGGTCACTTGAATTTCCATTTAATAGAATCCTGATGAAATGTTAGGAAATCAGGATGCCCTCACCTGCACATTGTCCCCTTTAGTCACAGATTTAACATTTACTTTAAACATAGTTCTTGAAATATCAAGTATTAAAACAGGAAGGATGTGCATTGCTTGTTTCCTAATAATAGCCATGCCCTAATAAATTATACTTACTATACTCACATGATAAAATTAAGGCATGTGATAATGTATTTTACAAGAGCAAATGTTATCAGATAACACAACCCTGAATATCACTTAGAAAACCAAATTGACAAGATTAACATGTGATTGATGCAAAGACTGATTGCAACAGAAGGAAAATCATTTTGGCAAAGCTTTCCTAGCTGTATCTTTTACAGAATACTACTTAAAATCAGTGAGGAAATTGAAAGTTTTCAACAAAAATGATTAAAATGCATCTTGGCAACAATGCTAAATAAATTTAGATTATCAGAGTAAAGACATCCTTTGAGTTAACATATAATGGAAAACATTGATATTTTATT